TAAATAAACTTGAAAATTTAAGTGAAATGGGCAACTTCCAGAAAAGTACAACTTATCAAATCTAGCACAAAAATAAATATAAGATAGGAATAGATCTATAACTATAAACTGATTCTGTAATTTAGAATCTTTCCACCAAGTAAACTTCTGGCTTCCCTGGTAAATCCTTCCATTTACAGAAGAAAGAACACACAATACGAGAAGGAACATTTCTCAGCTTGTGCTACTATGCCAACTAAATGTGATACCAAAATCTGACAGAAACAATATAAGAAAGTAAATTACATGGTCTGCCTGAATGTAGGTACAAAAATTTAAGCAAAGTACTAGCAAACTAAGTTCAGTGATATTTGAAAAGGATAAGACATTTTGACCAAAATGTATATATTCCAGAAATGCTAAGTAGTTTAACATTGAAGTAAAATAATAATATCTCAATAAGAGCAGAGAAATGTCATAAAATTTAACATCCATTTTTTGGATTGGGGGAAAAACTTGTTTTTGCTCAAAGAGAGAAGGGAACTTTCTAAGATAAGTTTTCTACACAAAAACCTATAGCATACCATATACTTGATGGATTGTTGAGCCTTCTCCTTTTGAAATCATGAATGGCAGTGGTTACCACTTGTATTCACCAATTTACTGAAGGCTCTAGTTAATGCGCAAGTATAAGAAAAGTAAATAAATTGTATATTTGGAAAGGGAAAAACTAAACTCATTATTTGAATTTGGCATGCTTGTTCATGTAGAAAATCCAAAAGAATCTATGTACCAATTATTGGAATTAATAAATGAGGGAGCAAACTTGCTGAAACAAAGCTAAGAAACAAAAATTACTTGTCTCCCTATGTATTTGCAACAAAAATCAGTAAAAAAAATTTTTGTTTTAAAGATTTACTTATTTTAGTGAGAGAATGTTCATGAGTGGGAGGAGGGGCAGAGACAAAGAATCTTCAAGGAGACTCTCCACAGAGCATGGAGCCCAGCGATGAAGTGGAGCTCAACCCCATTAACCATTAGATCATGACGTGAGCCAAAACTAAGAGTGGGATGCTCAAGCAACTGAGCCACTCAGGTGCCCCAAAGTTAGTAAAAATTTTCTAATTACTATTTAAAAAGAGTTTGAAAAAGCAAGGTCTAAATCTAAGAAAGAATGTGCAAATTCTCTACACAGAAAACTATAAAGCATTGTTGAAAGAAATTATAGAACAACTAAATAATGTTATGGATTGGGATTTCCAGAAGAAGATACTGAAACGACATTTGGGTGCCCCATGTTAATAAGGGATCAACACCTAGAAAAGAAGAGGAAGGATGAGTTTGTGTTACTATGCAGAGCAATCCAAGCCCGGGGCTTCTAGAGTGAATATTGCCAAACTGGACTACCTCAGGTCAGACTTTATGCCCCCTTCCCTACTCTACCCTACACTGCTTGGTTACTGGATATGAACTGCCCTGGAAATACCTGACTGACCTTGAGGCAGTTCTCCCCAGATAAGGTAGAAACAAGATGCTCAGAGCTGGAGGCTCTCTGCTCATCACAGCCCCTGGGATTGAACTGCGTACTAACTCTCCTTGTGAAGAGGAATCTGGGCAGTACATCACCATGTTTCCTACAAATGTTCATGGACCGGAGCTCTCAAAAGAGTTGAGAAGTCCATTTTCCTCAAACTGATATAAATATTCAATAAAATCCCAATTAAAATTCTAAAATATTTTTTAAAACATTTTTAAAAATTTTGTTAGGGGCACCTGGGTGGCTCAGTCAGTTAGGCATCTGACTCTCAGTTTTGGCTCTGGTCATGATCTCAAGGTTGTGAGATTGCACCCCACATCAGGCTCCACAATGGGCATGAAGTCTGCTTAAGATTTTCTCTCTCTCCCTCTGCCCCTCTCCTGCCACTCTTTCTCTCTAAAAAATAAAATAAAATAAAATTGTGTCAAATACACACAACACAAATTTACCATTAGTGCATCTGATACATTCACAACATTGTTTAGCCACTGTCTATTTCCAGAATATTTTTTTTACTCCAAAGGAAACCCCATACCCACATACCCATTAAGCAGTCACTCCCCATTTCCCCATACTCTCCCTCCCCAGCCAGCACCTGACAATCACTAACTTATTTTTTAATATACTCTCTATTTATTCAGACACCCTGTATGTTCATCCTCAGTCTTGTCCTTCCCAGGCTCTGGGTCTGCCTGTTCTTGACCTGTCTGGCACCTCCTGTATCTTGTCTGTGGGCAGGGAGCTGGCCCAGCCCTGGGGGTGCCTGGCGGTGAGCAGAAACAAAGGCAAGCCTCTGTGCAGGTCCCTAAAGCAACTGCCAGAGAGGTCAAAGTCCACAACAACAATTTTTGAGAATAAGATCTCTAGTTGACCCCTTGGCCCTAGAAAGCCACACCAAGAATGTAAATGTTTGTCTCCGTAGCTACCAACAAGCTGAGGCAGGAGGCATGCTGGGTGGGTGAACATAAACACGACAAAGCTTCCTCATGAATTTAGCAGCCTTTTTCTTCATGAAGCACTCTCCTAGTGGCCCTATGTTTCCTTTATTGGATTCCAGAATTCCAATAAAGGTGATTCTAACAGTTACTTGAAGAGCTCCCTAGTCCACTATTTTCCCGATGGTGGAGGATTTTATGTGTATAAACTGACAACTTAATTCTAAAATTTACATGGAAATACAAAGCACCTAACAATAGCTTGGAAGTGTCTTTTTGAAGAATTACAAAATGGGAGTACTCTTCTACCATAAAAAACACTTGTTTTAAACCTATACTAATACAAACCTATAATAATTATGACAAGGGTAGAAAATAGACAATGGAAGAGAATAGAAAATGCATCAACAGACCCATACAAAAATGGTTACTTGATTTATGATAAAAGTGGCATGGAGAGCAGTAGAGAAAGGACTATGTTTTTAAAAAATAGTGTTTCTGGGGCGCCTGGGTGGCTCAGTGGGTTAAGCCTCTGCCTTAGGCTCAGGTCATGGACTCAGGGTCCTGGGATGGAGCCCCGCATCAGGCTCTCTGCTCAGCAGGGTGCCTGCTTCCCCTCTCTCTCTGTGCTTCCCTACTTGTGATCTCTGTCTGTCAAATAAATAAATAAAATCTCTAAAAAAAATAGTGTTTCATCATTTGGATATATATAGGGAAGAATATGAAAGTGACTTCTACTTTATACCGTATACAAAATAATCAACCCCACATGTACTGCTGATCTAAATATGAAAAGGCAAATTGGTAAAGTTTATATATAATATAGGAAAATACTTTTATGACTTCAGGATTAGTGCAGTTTATAAAAAGCACCAACCATATACAAAAAGGTTGATAATTTAAACTACTTTAAAATTAAGAACTCTGTTCACCAAAACACTGTTCACCACAATAATGAAGTCTCGTTTCAAAATATTAACCTAGGTGGGGAAAGAGGGAGGAAATGGAGATGAGGCAGGACTGGCTATAAATTACTAATTGCTGAAGTTAGGGGATGGGTACATGTGGTTTATTACTTTACTCTTTCTACTTCTGTATATGTTTGATAATTTTCACGATTAAAAAAAAAAAAAGGTGGGAAGACCATAAAAGTGACAAGTCAAATCACAGAATGAAAAATATCATGTGCAGCACAGAAAACCAACAAAGGGTTTGTATGAAGAACACATAAAGAACTGCTTAAAGCCCGGAAGAGTAAGAGACAATATACACATAAAAGACATGAAAAAAAAAAAAATGTCAGGAGCTCAGCTGACCTGGGAGAACAGTTGTTGAGGTGTCGGGTGTCAGAAGAGCCAATGAAGGAAACAAGCCGAAAGGGAAAGAAAGCTTTTAATTACTTACTGTAGTGGTAATACGTAAGAGTTGGAGCCCTGAACAGTGGAGGAGGCAACGATTCCCCCTGGTCCATCCCCCACCCTCTGCCCTGCAGTGTTGAGAATGAGGCCGAGCAGCACAGATATGGGAGTCCTCTCACTGCTGAGTAATGCCACTGACTTACAAACCCAATCTACTATTCGTGTTAGCATAATATTTAGGCAGACTACTCCAAACAATTCTATCTCAGAAAACTACTGCCTGACTTTCAACAGGCTCCAGCAGTTGTATGGACCCCAAGGTGTGAAGGGGTGGGGAGGGCAGTAGGAAGGAGAGTGTGAGTGGACTCACTCAGAGTGGGACTGCACAGGGGCCTGAAGACCTCAGCCCAAAGCCTCAGATAGAGAACTAAGAAGGCAGGCGCTGGGACCAAAACTTTAAGTATGTCTAAAGGGAGGACTGTTCTTAAAAAGCTTATAATATTAAGCATTGGTAAGGATGCAGAGCACCAAGAATTCCAAAAGACTGATGATGGTTAATACAAATTGTACAGTCACTTTGGAAAAGAATTTGAAATTCCATTTCTGGGTGGAGCAGAAATCCGTGCACACGTGCACAGGACAGATGAGTAAGAATATTTTCCCAAAAGCAGTCTTTGTAGCAGACTCAAACTGGAAAAACAACACAAATGTCAATCAACCGTAGAATGAATACACAGTAGTATATTCATAAAATTAAATAACCATCATTATTTTTTAGAAAATGAATAGAATTCAGCGACATGAACACAAGGTTGAATAAGACAGCGAAGCGCACCAGAGGATTCTATTTACACGTGGTTCAAGAATAGAGAAGACTGAAAAAAAACAACAAAAAAACTTCAATTCAACCTAGTGGTTGCCTTTTGGGAGCAGGGAGTTGGCTGTGACATGCAGAGGTGTGCAGAGTGCCACAAGCCAGGGGTCTGACATCTGAGACTCTGATCTGGGTGATCACTGCACGGGGGGCTTGTGATGACCCACCGAGCTGCACATTTGTGTTTTAAGAACTTTTCCATGTGTGGGTCACACTTCAAGAAAAAGTTTTTAAAAAGAAACACAAACACATTTATAGAGCACTCACACATTTTGCAGGGAAAAAACAGTTGCCGCATGAATAAATACCATGCTCACCTCTTTAGGATCAATATATTTCACTATCTGACGTGGCTCCCCTTGTCTTCTGATATCAATCAGTCCTTTATAGTGTTGGAATACAGCGACATTCTAAAGGTTCAAGCACATAAGATTCTATTGTCAAAACTGGATTTTCTACCTCTAATTAAAGCTTTGTGCCTAACTAGGGCAAAATAAGTAAAAACCGTAAAAATAGCCTTTATGTATATAAACTAGATTTTAGAAATCTTATCCACTCAGGGTTTGCTCTGGCAAGCTAGGCAATACTGGTTTTATTCTCACAAAGAGTTTTACCCTTAATTGTGGAACTACATTAGCAACTATAAATCAAATACCCAGAATGCTGGTGGAGTCACTTCTATGCTGCCAGAGTAAACCGGGAGAAAGACAAAACAGCCTGCTGGTTAAGAACGTGGAGTTTGGCACAGTATTATCTGGGTTCCCATTAACCATGTGACCGTGGACAAGCTAAGCAGCTGAACGACCAGAATGATAGTGGGTATCTCATACAGCTATGGTGAAGAATTGATGAGTTAATATTTGTAAAGCTCCTAGAATAATTTCTGGCACAAAAAACCACTAAATAATTATTATCTTACTATCATTACAGAACCTCGTTCCTATAGTAATGCCACTGACTTACAAACCCAATCTACTATTCGTGTTAGCATAATATTTAGGCAGACTACTCCAAACAATTCTATCTCAGAAAACTATTTCTTTGGTAACACTCTCCTTATGCCCTATGCACCCCCAAACCCTCAGTAACTCCCGGTAAAAGTCCGCCCTGCCTCACTATGCTTACATCAACTCAGATCAATTCTAACAGAAGTAACCCACAACACCAGTATGACAATGTGAAGCCCCAAGGCAACTGCCTGTGGCAATGGTGCAGCTCACATCAAAACATAACTACCCACAAGGAAGACACCTGCCGTTCCCATCTGCCTATCTGGCTGTCAGGGAAGGAAAAGAACCTGTACGCTGGTGAACAAAGAAGCTGAGTAGGGCAACAGTGAAAGCTGGTCCAACGTGTCCTAGAAGCTGTGAAGTGCCTTTTTTTTTTTTTGTTCAAATGATTTTAATTATTGGAATGCACAATTTTTAAATATGCAAATAAAAGTTTTAAAACCTGGGGGGAAAACCCCCAGTAGATAGATCAATGAAATCAGGAGCTGGTTCCTTGAAAAGAGCAATAAAATTGATAAACCTTTAGCCAGACTCATAAAAAAGAAAGAAAAAGAGAGAAAGAAAGAAAAAGGGAAAGAAAGAAAGAAGGGAAGGAAGGAAGGAAGGAATAAATAAAGAGAGGGAGAGAGAGAAGACTCAAAATCAGAAATGAAAGAGGAGAAATAACAGCTTACACCACAGAAATACAAAGGATTAGAAGAGAATATTGTGAAAAACTATATGCCAACAAATTGGACAACCTAGAAGAAATAGAGAAATTCTTAGAAACATATATGCTCCCAAAACTGAAACAAGAAGAAACAAAAAATGTGAACAGACTGATAACCAGCAAAGAAACTGAATCAGTAATCAAAAACTCCCAAAAAACAGAAGTCCGGGGCCAGACGGCTTCACAGGCAAATTCTACCAAATATTTAAAGAAGAGTTAATACCTATTTTTCTTAAACTATTCCAAAAAGAAGAGGAAAGAAATCTTCCAAATTCATTCTATGAGGCCAGCATTACCTTAATATCAAGACCAAACAGATATTGCTAAAAAAGAGAACTATAGGATAATATCTCTGATGAACACAGATGCAAATCCCCTCAACAAAATATTAGCAAACTAAGTCCAAGTATAAATTAAAAAAATAATTCACAACAATTAAGTGGGACTTATTCCTGGGTTGCAAAGGTGATTCAACATTCAAAAATCAATGTGAAACATCACATCAACAAGAGAGAGGATAAAAACCATATGATCGTTTCAGTGGCCCCTCAGTGGCTCAGTTGGTTAAGCATCCCTTGATTTCAGCTCAGGTCATGATCTCAGGGTTGTGAGATCAAGCCCTATGTTGGGCTCCATGCTGAGCATGGAGCCTCCTTAAGATTCTCTCTTTCCCTCTCCCTTTAGCCCTCCCTTTTCTCTTAAAGAAAAAAAAAAAAAAAAAAAGGCCTCAGAGAGATCCCTGACCCCTCCCATTACATGAGGACGTGGCAAGAAGACAACTGTTCACCTATGAACTAGAAAGCGGATCCTTACCAGACACCAAATCTGCTGGTGCCATGATTTTAGACTTTCCAGAATCCAGAACTGTAAGGAATAGATTTCTGTTATTTATAATCTACCCAGTCTATTGTACTTTGTGATAATAGCCCAAATGGATTAACACAGCTACCAAAGATGTGAATAAAATGATTAACTAATTTGACCTAAATATGTCAGTATACACTTTTTTTCTCACGTTCACATGGAACATTTCCAAAAATAGACTTTTTCTAGGCCAGGCAAGTTTCAAAAAATTTCAAGTTATTGAAATCATATAAATAACTGACTTCAGTGGAATTAAATCTGAAAACCAATAACAGAAAGGTAATTAGAAAACTCCTAAATATTTGGTAATTAAGCAACATACTTTTCCAAAAAATCATTTATTTATCTGAGAGATAAAGCACAAGCAAGGGGAAGGGGAGAGAGAGAAGCAGACTCCCCACCCAGTGAGGAGCCCAATGTGGGGCTCTATCCCAGGACCCTGAGATCATGACTTGAGCCAAAGGCAGTGACTTAACCCACTGAGCCACCCAGGAACCCATAAACAACACACTTTTAAATAACTCACAGGTCAGGACGCCTGGCTGGCTCATTTGGTAGAACATGCACTCTTGATCTTGGGGTTGTGAGTTTGAGCCCCATGTTGGGTGGAAGGATTACTTAAATATAAAATCCTTAAAATCAATCAATCAATCATGGATCAAAAAAAATCACAATGGAAATTATAAAATATTTTAAACTGAAATGTAATAAATATATGACGTATCAAAACCTGTGGGATATACCTAAGGGAATGCTCAGGGAGAACTTGATAGCTTTAAATACATATATTATTAAAAAAGAATAAATGGGGGCGCCTGGGTGGCTCAGTGGGTTAAGCCTCTTCCTTCAGCTCAGGTCATGATCTCAGGGTCCTGGAATTGAGCCCCGCATCGGGCTCTCTGATCAGCAGGGAGTCTGCTTCCCTCTCTCTCTGCCTGCCTCTCTGCCTACTTGAGATCTCTGTCAAATAAATAATCTTTTAAAAAAAAGAATAAATGTGTAAATCTAAGATCTAATGTTCCCTCTCAAGAAGTGTGAAACAGAACAGCAAATCAAACTCCCTCAAAAAATGAAGGAAAACACAATAAAGATAATCAGTTAATGAAATGTAGAGTTAAAACAGAAAGCCAACAAAGCCAAAACCAGGTTTTTTTCTTTTATTAAAGATTAAGACAGATATAGAAAAATAAGGAGAAAACACATATGAGCAATATCACCCCAGATCTTATAGACATTAAAAGTATAGTGAGAGGAGACTATAAACAATTTTGGGCAAATAAATTTGACAATTTTAAGAAAATGGACAGATTCCTTGAAAAGAAACATCAAAATGGGCATAAGAAGAAATACAGTTTTGAATAGTCCTGTATTATTAAAGAAATAGAATCCCTAATTAGAAATTTTTCATAAAGAAAACTCCTACACACAATATTTTGCCAACGTATTCTCCTCTTTATAGGAGAAATAGCATTAATCACACAAATTCTTTCAGATAATATAACAGAAGTATTTCCCAACTCTCTTTATTAGGCCAGCATAATCTTGATATCAACAGCTGAGAAGGATATGACAAAAAAGAAAAATTACATTCATGAGCAAATATGCAAAAATCCTAAATGAAAGTTGATAAAAGAAATTTTCTATTTTTAATGCCTATGGGTCCTGTTCCTGGACTCCGGGGAGGCTACACCTTAACATTTACCAAGGTGAAAGTAACTAGGCAAAACTTCAAAGCATGGATTCTATTTCTTCCCTGAGTACACACTGTATATCTGCTTTGTTAAAGAAAATAACCAGAAAGGAACATTCTGAACATGAAAGAGAAAGAAGGAACTTCCCTGATTCCTCTAAAACTGAAGTCTAAGCCCTGCATATACAGGAAACTTAAGGTCTGCAACTTCCTAAAATGTTCTTTGTCTAATAATTTGTAACTCTTTATGTATAAAATGAATATAGCCTTACACCAAATGTTCTCCCTTATCAAAGCACTCTCTTCTTTGTGAAGATTGTATCCAGGACAGCTGTTCTAACTTGGGTTTGAATGAAACTCTTTTTTTCCTAGAAATTCTAACAGGTTTGTTCATTTGTGTCAATAACATTTATCAGATCAAATCCAGGATATATCAAAAGGGTAATAAAACATCAGTGAAGTAGAATTTTTTCCAGGAATGCAAGGCTGGTTTAACATTTGAATATCAATCAATGAAATTCACCACATAAAAAGAATGAAGAAAACAGACAAAATGATCATACAGTAAACACAGCAAAAGCATTTGATAAAATTCAACACTCAGAGTTTTCATAACAACAAGAATAAAAAGTAAACTAGGAATAAAGTTAAATTCCCCAAACTGATGGTAAGTTTTTACAAAAAAACTACAAGTAACATCTTAACTAATGGTGGAATATTACATGCTTTCTGCATTCAACAAAAGGGCAAGAATGTCCATAATTACTGCTTCTATTCCATCTTGCACTGGAGGGTCTAATCAGTGCAATAAAGAAACAAAAGGTATAAAGTTTGCAAAGAAAAAAGTAAAAGTTATCATCCAAGGATGACATACTTAAGTGGAAAATCCAAAGGAATCTATAAAAAAGCAATTAGAAATAAGTGCATATTAGGTCAGCAGGTAAAAATAAACTACATTTCTATAAACTAGAAATGAACAATCAGAAAATAGAATTTAAAAATAATACCACTTACAGTGGTGTCAAGAAATGTCAAATACCCAGAAGTAAAATGAAAGATGTTTAAGATTTCTACACTGCGAACTACAAAACATCCTGGAGGAAAAAAAAAATTTTTTTTGAAGATTTTTATTTATTTGTCAGAGAGAGAGAGAAAGAGAAAGAGCAGCAGGCAGAGGGAGAAGCAGATTTCCCACTGAGCAGGGAGCCCAATGCAGGACTTGATCCCACGACTCCAGGATCATGACCTGAGCGGAAAGCAGACACTTAACCAATTAAGCCACCCAGGCATCCCTGGGAGAAAAAATTTTAAAGATCTAATAAATAAAGATATGTACCATGTTCATGAAAACTCAGTGTAGAAAAATTCAGTTTTGTCCCAAACTGATCTACTGATTCAATTTAATTCTAATTATATAATCTCCATAATAATTCTTTTTAATTAATGAATTGATTCTACAATTTACATGGAAATGCAAAAGCTCTAGAATAACTATGACAATCATGAAGAACATCAAAGTTGGAGGACTGTACTGCCATATACCCATACTTCTGATAAAGCTACAGTTACTAAGACAGTGTGGTATTGACTCAAATAAAGACAAATAGACCAACACAACTAAACAGAGACTATAGAAACACTTCACACATATGATTACATGATTTAAACAAAGGCACCACTGTGATTTACTATGGAAAGGATGGCATTTTCAGTAAAGGTGAACCTATAATAATCAAATGATTATTTGGTTATCCATAAAGACAAAAATGAACTTTGTGGGGCTCCTGGGTGGCTCAGTGGGTTAAAGCCTCTGCCTTCAGCTCAGGTCATGATCCCAGGGTTCTGGGATCGAGCCCTATATCGGGCTCTCTGCTCAGTGGGGAGCCTGCTTCCCTCTCTCTCTCTGCCTGCCTCTCTGCCTGCTTGTGATCTCTGTCAAATAAATAAATAAAATCTTTCAAAAAAAAAAGGAACTTTGTCCATACCTCCTATCATACACAAACATTAATTTGAGATGGATACTGGATCTCAATCTACAACTAAAGCAACTAAGCCTCTAGGAAAACATAAACAAAAACAAAAACAAAAAAACAGAAGGATATCTTCTGGCTTCAGGTTACATAAACACTCCCCTCAGATTTATTTCAAATATTTGACATGTAATATTGTGCTGGGTGAGTCAGGTGTCCACCTTGGGATCTCATTCCCCACTGGGGAAAGGAAAGGCCCAGTGGGCTCCTTAGGGCTGCCTTGTGCCAAGTGATGTGATCAAAGTGAAAACCCTCCTCTTATCCTTCTAATGTGGTCCTTGTCTCTCTGGTCCTTGGTTCTGGGATTTTCATAAGAATGCTTTCTATGGATAGTGGCTAGTTGGTCTTCTTATGAGGCAATGTCACATCTTTAGGCAAACATTTCTTTTTTTTTTTTTTTAAGTTTTATTTACTTATTTTAGAGAGAGAAGGACAGCACGAAGAGGGGAGGGCAGAGGGAGAGAGCGCATCTCAAGCAGTCTCCACTTTGAGTGTGGAGCCCGACATGAGGCTTGATTTCACTACACGGAAATCACGACCTAAGCCGAAATCAAGAGTTGGACACTTAACTGACAGCCACCCAGGTCCCCCTAGGCAAATATTGCTTAAACAGGGCTCAGAAAACACTAACCATAAAGAACAAGTGATAAATTGGATTTAATGAAAACTCAAGACTTCTCATTATCAAAAAACACCTTTAAGAATGAAATGAGGCGAGATGCCTGGGTGGCTCAGTTGGTTGAGCGGCTGCCTTCAGCTCAGGTCATGATCCCAGCATCCTGGGATTGAGTCCCACATCGGGCTCCTTGCTTGGCAGGGAGCCTGCTTCTCCCTCTGCCTCTGCCTGCCACTCTGTCTGCCTGTGCTCACTCTCTCTGACAAATAAATAAATAAAATCTTTAAAAAAAAAAAAAGAATGAAATGAGGCCAGTCTGAAGAAAATATCTGCAACACACATATTCAATAAAGGACTTCTGTTCAGGATATCTGAGAGACTCCTCCAAGTGAATATCGGCAGTGTAATAGTAGATGTGATGGGATTTGTGGATTTGAAGATTGGGAGCATAGGTTAAAAAGAGTGGGGTAGGGATATTTATATCCTCATCATATATAATTAGAAGTCACATAATGTTATGTTAGCATGATGGAACAAGAAACAAAGGCTTAAATATCCTTTAAAGAAAGAAGGTAACAACAACAAAAATAAGAAAGAAAGAAGGTAACAAATAGAGGAACTAAAAAAATAATCCCACATGGTACTGTGTAAGGGATAAGCGAGATAAGCTCTCAATTTTCTTTGCAGAAGGTCAACAGGTCACTTCTAAAGTTGGTAAATAAAAGATAATTATCCAAGCATATTATGCAGAAACACAGAAATTACTACTAAAGATCTAAAACAAAAAATGGTTAAAAGTGGTTGCCTTAAGGATATGAGGGTAGAGAAGACTAGGAGGGGCTAAAAGAAGTGCTTTTATTTGTAAGTTCTTCTACACTATTTTACTTAAAAATACATTATTTTGATGTAGAATATTCAAATGTTGGGGTGCCTGGGTGGATCAGTGGGTTAAAATATTCAAATGTAAGAAAATACCTTCATTTACATTAGTTTGACTCTGCAGTTTATTCATTTATAGGGCCATGTAATATGTTAAAATGACGCTTCCTTATTTAGAAGTCATCCTCTAAACCACCTGAAACAGAATGTTTCTAGACTTAAGATCTAGACTTATGTGTTCTCTTTGAATCTCAGAACTATTTTAATTATCCTTATATTTGAACCATGGCTTCCATGGTTAGCTTCTTTTCAGTTTCTAACCACTTTTCAAATGTAACTGTGCAGTCATACCTTCTGTTGCAGGAGGTACCATTTTATCTCCAAATACACCCTCTTAGAGCCATTCAACATACTGATCTTATCTAAATTGATCACCATTTTTATTTCCTTCATTTTTTCCTTTCTCATTTGCTCTCTTTTTTTTTTAAACATCATTTATTTCTCTTAAATATCAGTTGATCCCTGCTTGTGCATTAATACTTAAGAATGAAGGTCTGCGGGCATCTGGGTGGCTCAGTGGGTTAAAGCCTCTGCTTTCAGCTCAGGTCATGATCCCAGGGTCCTGGGATCCAGCCCCGCATTGCATCGGGCTCTCTGCTCAGCGGGAGTCGCTTCCTCCTCTCTCTCTGCCTGCCTCTGCCTGCTTGTGATTTCTGTCTGTCAAATAAATAAATAAAATCTTTAAAAAAAAAAAAAAGAATGAAGGTCTGTGTCAATTCTTCAGGGGAACTAGTTGGGAGTATCCTGGGCTTTTTAAAAGTCTCTTATTTCGCCATTGTTCTCACACATGAATGGGAAGATGGTCTGGAGCTTTGTAATGTGTGTGGAATTAGATAATCAACAGACTTTTGGCGGGGGTATGGTTAGGTAGCCAGCAATCAAGCAGGGTGTCTTTCAAATACTAAAATTAAGAGACTTTTACTGTGGAGCGCCAAATCTGCAAAAGAATTAGCTTTTCCAAATAGTTCATTTAATTTTTTAAAAAAGAGATAAGTCATCAGGGTTTTTCCCCCTTAGAGTACATATCCATCTATGAGCAAATTTTTTGACCTATGGTAAATATCCATCTACCTGCTGCTTTGGGGATTGAAGTGACAGGGCAGACAACTGTCACAGCTGTCCTACATACACTTAACCCCCTTGCCTACGGTCATTCTCCTTCCAGTTCTTTCAAATTGCTAACTCCGAATGGATAGGCTTTCTAGGGTCCCAGTGACAAACCAGCTCTCTCACTGGAGCGAGGCAAGTCTTCTACACAGTTCTGTCCAAATGGATGTAACTATCTATTTTTGGTTTTCCAAAAATGAGATAAAATTAATCTGCTCATGAAGTCCCTTCTCTCTGGTGTGGGTTAACTTTTTGTGTATTGTCATTTTAATAGGGTTCTGCACGGACAAAAAGTAAAGATGTGTGCTCAGTCCACCATCTTGTTAAGATACATATATACACATGCTTGTCTGTTTATATACATGGCTTCTCTACTAAAACTCCTTAAGGGCAAGGAGGTATTGTAAAGTTCTTCGCTAGGAATATAAAAAGTATACAAGGTAATGTTGGTTGGATTTGGATGTGGGATAAAGGAAGTTACAAATAACAGAAAAGCTTAAGCCGAGCTAACAAGTAGAAACCATCAAAGGGATAGATTTTGAAAGCAAATTGTTTTTATATTAGAAATCAATACTTATGGATTTTATGGCTTTGAAAGAGGCAAAAGAAACAACTAATGGAAGCTATTTTGCAAGATTTGATGAGCCAATACAAAGAATACAAAGGTATTCTTGTGTGCCAGAAACAGAGTCATACCACTTCACACAAAATTATCAAACACAGACAATGTTGCTGCTGTCACAGAGGAAAGAGCAGAGTCATTTCAGCTGTTGGCTCTCACCCAACCAGGTAAATCAACTTGGAATAATCCTTACACCAATGTGACCAGCTATGCCCATACTAAAGCATGATGAATAAATGTATTAATTCAGACACAGTTCATTATTTAAACATTGTCTTCAAAAGTAGGTACTCAGTAAATATTTAATGAGTGAATGTATCCCTAACACCTGCTCAAAAACCTGATTCCTGAGTCAAGAAATAAAGTTTTAAAGGTGAAAGCCAAATAACCTTATTAGTGATACTTACATTGATCATAGCCATTATCAAAAGGCCTGGCCCTGATATGGAGCTAGTAAGGATTTGTGAGGTTAACAAGATGATTGTTAACTTTTTGACCTTCTAAAAAAATGTGTGCTTTGAAAGCAAAGGGTAGTACACAAATCCATAAGTATACTAAAAACTATTGAACAGCTGAACCTTATGATATATAAATTATATTGTAATCAAATTGCAAAAAATGAAATAAACTCACAAGGAAACACTTCCAGGCCTTCTGAATGACTCTGGCAGCTTCATCCCTCTCTGTAAGTTCTGACTCCTCTTCCCAAGGCATTTGAAAGACCTAAAAGAAGCAAAAAACGTATGCTCAAAATTTTTTTATGAACTCCATTATGAAACTCATTAGAACTCAAGAAAAACAGAAGATTAATAAAGGAAATAATACAGATGAGATTTGGTATCAAAATAATTTTATAAAAATTATTACCTACTTTTTATTTTATGTATTTTATAAAAATTGTTACCTACTATTGATTGCCTATATGTTCCAATTTCTCTTTTCTAATTTAAACAACAATCTTGCATAGCAGATTTTTGCCAATTTGCTTGTGTTAGAGATGAGGAGACTGCACTTCAAGGCCGAAGGTCAAATAGTGATTGACTAAGCCAGTATTAAATCCAGGTCAGTTTCTCTCGAATCCATGACCTTTCATGTCCCCCATTCAATGACTTCAAATATTTTTTTAAGATTTATTTATTTGACAAAGAAAGAGAGAGAGAGAGAGCACAAGCAGGCAGAGAAGCCGAGGGAAGGGGAGAAGCAGGCTAAGAAGGGAGCCCAACATGGGGCTTGATCCCAAGATCGTGTCCTGAGGCAAAGGCAAATGCTTAGCCAACTGAGCCGCCCAGGTGCCCCCCAAAAAACTTTTCTTAATCAACATGCACAGCTTCATTCCAAATTCATCCAGGCTTCTAACCTAGAATTACAGATGCTATAGAATTTTTCTTACTGTGTAACTCATAAATGTGTTGACAAGTTAATAAATCATGCATTAAATTGTCAGAAAAAGAGATGAAGCCTGACCACTAAGAAGCAAAACAAAACCACTAGTTCTATCCATAGTTTTTATCAATACTGTGAAGAAATAAGTAATGGGAGAAGTCAGAAAATCATAGCTTATGAGTCCTTTAAAAAGTTGCAGTAGACAGAGGATTCCAGGAAGAAAGTGGAATAGGAAGTGCCAGGGATCTCTTTCCCCACCTAGACAACTACACTGGCAAAATCTAATTTAACTATTTTGGAACTCTGGAAGCTACTGAAGGCTTGGAAGGCTTGGGGGGTAAACTGTGGTTAACTCGGGTCAATATTGGCTCTTAGCCCAGTCCTAGCTATCCACTCCCTCACCTCAGCCCTAGCAGCAGCAGCTGTGTACATATTCCTGGAACAACTTGCACACAGCTTGTGGGAGTGGGGGTGGAGAGAAAGGACTCTGTCCAGGAAATATAGGAGATCTGTGTTGGGGTTGTTGGTTGCTGCTTCTGATCACAAAGGTGCAGACAAACAGGAGGGCAGTCATTGGTGCTGTATGTCCACCCTCTACCATTGTTGCAAGCCCTTCCCATCTAGCAAGTTCCAGGGAATTTAAAGGGTTTTTCCTTCCTGCTATGTTGTTCCCCTTCCCCTCTTTGGAAGGCAGGCATTCAAAACTAGGACATTCAAAAATAACTACATATATGGAGAAAATTAGAAAGTGACCAGTCATTCCAGGGAAAGGCACAGACTCAGAAAACTGAGAAGATCTTAGGTTTAAAATTCAGGCTGATTCTTGTCTGATCCTTGTAAGCTGCAGAAACAGACTATAGCAATTAAAAAAAAAAATACCAAACATAGTAAACTCTGAGGAAAGGAAAGAAAGCTGATTTCCAGAGTTCTTGTATTATTAAATTTGAATTTCCAGCTTTCAACAACAACAAAAACAAGGCATATAAAGAAACACGAAATGATGGCTCATTCTAGAAAAAAATAAATCAAAAGAAACGTAACCTGAAAAAGACCTGATGGCAGATCTACTAGACAAAGACCTTAAAACAACTGTCTTAAAAATGCTCAAAAAATTAAAGGAAGACATGGAGAAAGTCAAGAAATGATGCACAAAATGGAAATATCAATACAGAGATGAAACCTAAAAAGAGACCAAATAGAAACTCTGAAGCTGAAAAGTAGAATAACTGAAAGGAACAATTTATTAGTGGAAATCAAAGGCACAGTTGAACAGGTAGAAGAAACAATCAGCAAACCTGAAAATAAACCAAAGGAAACTGTCAAATCTGAAAAATAGAAAAAAAGATTGAATGAAAGTGAATAGAACCTAAGAGACCTATGGCACCCCAGTAAGGAGATCAACATGCACATTGTGGGAGTCCCAGAAGGAGATGAGGAAAAGAAAGGGAAAGAGAAGGTATCTCAAGAAATAATGGCTGAAAAATGCCAAATTTGATGAAATATATGAATATCAACATCCCAGAACCTCAACAGACTCCAAGTAAGATCAATGCAAAGATATATCCACAACAAGACATATTATAATTAAACTCTTGAAAGTGAAAGATAAACTATTGAAAACAGCAAGAGAAAAGTGATTCATGACATACAAGGAATTTTTAATACATTAACAGATTTCTCATCAGAAACTTTGGAGGCCAGAAGGCAGTGGGTTAATATATTCAAAATGTTTAACAACAAAAAAAGTGTAACCCAAGACCATCTAGCAAACTGTCCTTTGAGAGTAAGGGAGAAATTAAGACATTCCCAGGTGAACAAAAGCTCTAAGAGTTCACAGCTACTAGACTTGCCCTGCAAAAAATCTTCAAGAGAATGCTGCAGGGAAAAATGAAAGGACACTTGACAGTAACTCAAAGTTATATGAAGAAATAGAAATTCCAGGAAAAGTAAATACACAGGTAGTTATAGAAGCTAATATTATTGTAACTATAATTTGTAACTCTATTTTTTAACATAATTTAAGAGAACAATGTATTTTTAAAAATTATTATTCTAAAAACTAGTATTATTGTAACTTTGGTTTGTAATTCCACATACTGTTTAATTTAAAAGACAAATATAATTAAAATATTAGATTGTGTTTTGGGGCACACAATGCATAAAGATGTAATCTGTAACATCAACAATTGAAAGGAGTTGGGATGGAGCTATAAAAGAGGAATTTTCTATGTTAATGAAGTTAAACTGGCATAAATCCACAATGGAGTGTTATAACTTTAGGATGTTAAATGTAATCCCTATGGTAACCACAAAGGAAACAGCTATAGAGTATACACAAAGGGAAATGAGAAATGAATTTAAATGTTTCGCCAAAAAATCAACTAAACACAAAAGAAGATAGTAATGCAGGAAATGATTAAAAAGTTATAAAGCAGGGACGTCTGGGTGACTCAGTTGGTTAAGTGTCTGCCTTCAGCTCAGGTCACGATTGCTGCGTCCTGGGTTCACATTCCACTTCAAGCTCCCTGCTTACCCTGCTTCTCCCTCTGCCTGCCACTCCCCCTGCTAGTGCTCACTCATTTTCTGTCTCTGACAAATAAATACATAAAATCTTTTTTTAAAAAGTTACAAAGCATAGGGGCGCCTGGGTCGCTCAGTGGGTTAAGCCTCTGCCTTTGGCTCAGGTCATGATCCCAGAGTCCTGGGATTGAGCCCTGCATCGGGCTCTCTGCGCAGCAGGGAGCCTGCTTCCCCCTTCTCTCTGCCTACTTGTGATCTTTGTCAAATAAACAAAATATTAAAAAAAAAAAGTTAAAAAGCATAAAGAAAACAAACAGCAAAGACAGAAGTAAAGCCCTCCTTATCACTAATTACTTTAAATGTAAATGGTTTAAACTCTCCAATCAAAATACAGAGATTTGCAGCATGAATAAAAACACAAAATCCAACTATATGCTATGTAAAATTGACTCATATTAGATTCAAAGATACAAACAGACTGAAAGTGAAAAGATGGAAAAATATATTCCATGCAAATAGTAACCAAAAGAAAGGAGTGGTGGCTATCTTCTGTCAGACAAAATAGACTTTAAATCAAAAAAGTTTAAAATAGACAAAGGACATTATGCATTAATAAAAGGTTCAACGAAGTAAGAAAATATAACAAACATTTATGCATCTAATAATAGACCAGCAAAAATATATGAAGCAAAAAAATGACAGAATCGAAGGGAGGAATAGACATATATATGCCATAGACATATATAGCTTTACTATAATGGTTGTAGATTTCAATACCTCATTCTCAACAATAGATAGAATAACCAGACAGAAATAAATAAGGAAACAGAGGACTTGAACAACACAATCTATCAATTTGATCAAACAAATGCAGAATATTCTTCTCAAGTGCACAAGGGAAACTTTCCAGGACAGACTATGTATTAGGCCACAAATTTATGTCTTTTTTTTTTTAAGATTTTATTTATTTATTTGACAGAGATCACAAGTAGGCAGAGAGGCAGGCAGAGAGAGAGGAAGGAAGCAGGCTCCCTGCAGAGCAGAGAGCCCGATGCGGGGTTCCATCCCAGGACCCTGGGATCATGACCCAAGCTGAAGGCGGAGGCTTTAACCCACTGAGCCACCCAGGCGCCCCCACAAATTTATGTCTTAATGTATTCTGGAAAGATAGTTATCAAACAAAGTATCTTATCAAAGTATAATAGGATGAAGTTAGAAACCAGCAACAAGTAAATTTACACATTTGTGGAAATAAAACTGTGGATCAAAGAAGAAATTACACAGGAAATTAGGAAAATGAAAACTAAAACACAACATATCAAAACTTATAGAAAGCAGTAAAAGCAATGTTAAGAGGGAAACTTAGAACTATACACACATTAAACAAGAAAGATCTCAAATCAGTATCTACAACTTACAGAACTAGTAAAGAAACAAAAAACTAAACCCAGAGCTAGGAGAAGATTAGAACAGACATAAAAGAAATAGAGAACAGAAAAACAATAGAGTAAATCAATGAAACCAAAATGGATTCTTTGAAAAGATCACTCAAATTGACAAATCTTTAGTTCGATGGATAGAGAAAAAAATTACTTTTGGGGGCGCCTGGGTGGCTCAGTGGGTTAAAGCCTCTGCTTTCGGCTCAGGTCGTGGTCCCAGGGTCCTGGGATTGAGCCCCACATCAGATTCTCTCTGCTCAGCAGGGAGCCTGCTTCCTTCTCTCTCTGCCTGCCTCTCTGCCTACTTGTGATCTCTGTCTATCAAATAAATAAAATCTTTAAAAAAAATTACTTTTGGTAATTTAGAAATGA